TGATTATATCGAGCAGCAGTTGTCTAAAATTAGTTTTTACTGCTCTCTCATTTCTTTTAAATCCTCTGAAGTATGCTCTGTTCAATTTTTTGAGCAATTTTTACATATGGAAATTAAAATGTACTAGAACAAATTACAATCAATCTATCAACGAGAAACTAATTCTCTTTTAAAAGTATCCTTGCGGACTTTTTTGATTATATTTTCTATAAGTGTGTTATTTCGAGTAGGATATTCAAGTGAAGTCATTGTTTGTTGTAAGTAAACATTACTGACTTTTGTGAATAGCGGTGTTTATCGATTCTGCAATAACGATGGAGAGATCAAATCTTTGAATATTATACGAACTAAACTTATTGTGGAAGATAACACTTTTTGTCTATTTGTACCTATTATTGATGGACTTTTTGTCCTCCGATAAAAAAATAATCATTAAATATGGCCTTTTCGGAACTGCTACTTTGAATTGAATATCAGTCAGTAATTGTTACAGTATGGTTAGCATATAGTTGTTATCCTCGTTTTGTTTTTTTTTCATTTTTAAATAATTACGCTTTGCTCCTTTTTCATTTGATGATTTATTCTGAAATTCAAATTCTGAATACAAATATTTAATTTTTTCATCTGATATTCAAACTTATTCAGTTCTCCAGATCAAACATTTGAGGAATGAGTTTTCTGCTAATTGCTGTTGTGAATCTAACAATTCTGCGTGTATTTTCGGAGCCATTATGGATAGAGACTGAATTGCAAGAATTTAGTTGGCTTGAAACTTGTGATTTGATCGCTACTTGCATTAAACCTACCCTTCAATTGCATCTATTCGATACGTCAGAAAAAGAAGCTATTTCAAAGATTTTACCATTAACTTTTGATGATAGAAATGTGAGTTGATTTTTCATCTGTGTCACTTTCTTTGACTACTTCTTTCTATTTTATTATGAAAAGAAAAACTAAAGTGTCGTAAAAAAGCAAAAGTATGACCCATTCCTTTAAGTAATTTTGACATTTTAAACGAACTTGTAGAATATAATTTATTTAGATTACAGGGATTCATTTGCTATCATATTGGAATATAGGAATGTCTGATTCCATTGCTTTAATCATAACTGTAAATGGTATTGATCCCGATTACAATTTTCCTAGAATATGTGATTCTACATCTACTATTTTTCCTTTTAAGTATGAAGAAAATATTACACAGGCAATTTTTTCTTCATTGTTGGATAGTTAGTTGTATGAAGTAATCTCATATCTGAAATAATATTTGGCTTTGTGAAGGGCAGGCATTATTCAGACATCTGTTGTATTTGGTGAATTTTTGATATGATTGATTGATTCAGAGAAATAGAACAGAAATGTTTGGCAGATGCTTCAAGGCTTGGATAACTTTTTCAAAAAATGTTGATCACTGTCCATGTTGCAGCACCTTAGTTACTGTAAGTGCTGAAACTTTTGAAAGATGTTCTCTGTATTTACATATATGAAATCAGCAAAACAATGCTGTAAATTCGAACTTTCGTACAGTGCACGAAATTCTGCGTGAGATTTCAACTTTTCTGAGTTGCGTAAGAAATTATTTTTCAATAAATTTACATTCTATCAATGAACAAATTGCCAAAAATACATCTGCGCTAGCAAACATAGTTTAAGGCTATTTATTCTGTAAAGCTTATGTTTCGCGTTTACTTCAGATCGGATTATTTCTATTTACTGTAAATACAGTTCTGCTATCGCTTTTAGGTTGATAATCCTGATAAACTTCGAAAAGATTCCTCGTTTTTGATTGTTATTATTCTGGTCACGCTTCTAATTGTGATCAACATTTTCGTAATTTCAATTTGCATTTTGGAATTTAAATTCAACGAACTAGTTCATGCTAAGAGGTAAGATTTTGAGATTTCAGTTGTACTGATATGTTTAGCATGAGTATTTTGTGTTATTTTTCTTTGTGATTTGGAACACCATCTTGATTTAGTTTGTAAAATCGTAAAACTTGATTTTAGATCTTCCATTCCAAGCACATGGGCAGTTGGTACTAATGCAGTTAGCAATTTATCTGATGATTTCGGTAAATCTGTCAAACATGCAGAAATTTTTTCCGCCAAAAGCGAAAAAGCAAATGTAACAATGAAGCCAACTTTATCTCCACAACGTTTACTTTCTGCAAATTCTTCGTTTTGTAATTCGTTATTACTGCATTGAAATTTTAGTTTCTGAGAAATTTTATGTGATTGCTTTAGTGTTTGGTTGTTACAAATTGCATTGCAGTAATTCCCAACTGAAAATTGAAAGTATTCGAAAATTTTCTGCATTTATTTCACTCATTTTTAAGGTTTAATCTTATCGATTTTTCGAGATTCTGTAAATATCACAAGATGAATTCATTTTATGCATTTCACTTCAGTGAATAAACAAATTATTTTTTTGCAATAGCACAATAAAAATTGTTTCTAGTGCAAGTTGAGTAAAAAAATTTTCGGTAAACTCTTTTGAAATATATTTTTTCGTGAGAAGCTTTCAGCATTTGTTGCGTGCTAAAAAAGCAGATGATTCCATTAAAATCTGAAGTCACAATTGATTTCTTGATTGATCTTTTGTAATTCATAGAAATCTTCATGTTATGATTTTTAATAAGTTGCCAGCAAAGTTATTGCGATAATTCTTAATTGGTTTGGGAAAAATTGAAGACACCCGAAAGTGTGAAACAGTTATTGGGGGGCATGTATTTCTACATATATTTACTTTCATACTAAATCGACGAGATTTAGATTTTTATAACCTGTATATGGCATTTTACAAGCTGAACCTATAGCATTTAATCAGTTTTATAAAACTAAAATACTGTGGGAAGATGCCTAAATTTCCTGGCATTCGCTTTTATCCCATCAAAAACTATCACGGTAGCTCATCAGTATTCCACCAATTCCATTACTTTTATTGTCTGCTATATAATGTAAACTTGTATGTGAGTAACGTGCGTAATGCCGTGTCTGAATATCTTTTTAACGACCAAGTACGGTTTTAAAAATACCGATAATCAAGGAGATACAATATGAAATAATGAAACTATAATTTCTCTGATGTTCTTCACAAGTTGTGTGTCTGAAAAAAAAGCCCCAAAATAATTTGACAGAAAGTTGAATAATTATTGACTGTCTGATAAATATTTTCATATTGTAGTAGCTAAATGTCACTCTATTTCACTTGTAGTTCAAAAATCGAAGCTACTTTTTGACACAAACTTATGTAATTACGGATTGAGAACTGGGAATTACGTACATTTTTGTTTTATTAAACGCAAGTTTAATTTATTCCACTGAATTTTACCGGAAATCATAATTCATGAAGTAAAGACTATGACAAATTTTAGAATTGTTGCATTAATGAATAAGTTTAATGAATGCAATCACGTGACTGAGATTTTGTTCCTTGAGACAGCTCAATCGTCCTAGCGTTGTAGAAGATCTCTGGTATTGAGT